GATTTCTTTCAATGATACGTCAAAAGATCACAAATCGTATCTAGTCGAAGACATTACCCTTAAAAATTGAAAAAAATTCCCTCGTTCCCCGTAAATGGGGGAAACCTCCAAAAAAATTACAAATTTAAAAATCGCTAATTTTCGAATTTTTTTCAATTTTTTTTACTTAAAAGTTCTATAACTTTTTCAAAAATGAACATATCAATATAATATTTTTTTATATAGATGCATAATATCATAACTTTCATTTGGTATATTTTTTTCATAAATTTAACCCTTAACCTGCCCACAAGGAGGGATTTAAAATGACAACTTTTTCACAAAAAATTAACATTTTCAACTTAACTTTTGAAAATGTTCCGGAAGGTCTGACACTTTTATATATATCTTAAATTAAAGCTAATGTAATATACTTTATTATGCAAAAAAAAAATTTCGGACTTTATTTTATCTTCACGGTGAAAATGGATACCGAATGCTATTTTTGTGTGAAAATTTTCGATTTTGTATTTTACATTATTAACTTTATTATGCTATAACTTTTTGAAAAATGTATGGATCATTACAATTTTTTAATGAGAAGTAGTATTTATATAGATCTTTCATTCGACATACTGTTTTATTAAATCGGACCATTTCCCTATATACAAGGGGGGTTCAAATATAAAAAATGCATGTAGAAAGTAGAACTTTTTCAAACTAAATTTTGTTTTTTGATTTTAATCACTGTGAGATATCATTATACTTGATCCAACTATGCCACGTCACCACTGTGCCGCGATCCCCCTGTGCTGGGGTTTTTTTTTTTTTTTATTTGTCTGATACCACTTTTTCTCAGCTCTTACCGAACCGATTTCTGTCAGCGATACGTCAAAAGATCACAAATCGAATATGTCAAAGACATGACCCTCAAATATTGAAAAAAATTCCCTCGTTCAAAAAATGTATGGATCAATACAATTTTTTATGATAAATACTATTTATATACCTCTTTCATTCGACATACTTTTTTTTTTTAAATAAAACCATTTCCCTTCATATATATATACATTATACATATATATTAGACTTATAAATCATAAAACTTATAATTATGATATAAATAAGGAAATAGGAGGTCATGTAGCTTTTGGAATAATCCACCAATTTTTTAAAATTAAATACTACAGATTTGCATCAAAACGTTTTTTTGANTGCTACGTCCCCACTCTGCTAGGATTTTTTATTTCTAAACTTGAGAAGTTATTTTGTCGCAGATCGTTAAAATAATTCGTGTTCTTTTGGTGTATATATCAATAAAATTGGTTGAATGAGAGCTAGTCATTTTCATGGATAGATATCAAAAAAACATCATAGTAAACCTAATACCTTCTCAACTTTGTATTTGAGCTAATATAAAATAAGAGTGTATGATATTGTAGTGAATATAGTTTAATATTTGGTACTATATAAGTGATGTACATTACCAGGCACGTAACTAGAAAATATTTATTGGAGGAGCCAACATTTTTGGGCCCTTGTATTATTTTCCATAATTTGTTTCCCATGAAAAGCTTGTGGGGGGGCTCTCTCCACTCCTCCTTAGACAGTATCCCATTCTATGAATCTTAGAAGTTCAAAATTTTACCATTGGTTGGTTAAAAACAAATTGTTTTCGTATAAAGTATACTAATTATTACAGTATTATAAAAACCCAGCTCAGGGGGGGTCGCGGCACAGTGGTGACGTGGCATAGATGGATCAAGTATAATGATATCCGACAGTGATTAAAATCACTATAAAAAAAAACGCTTCGATGCAAATCTTTATATAGTGTTTAATTTTAAAAAATTGGTGGATTATTCCAAAAGCTATATAATCTGCTTGTTCCTTATTAATATCCTGATTAAGATAAAGTATGTCGAATGAAAAAGGGATTATTAAAAAATATTATTTCTCATAGAAAAATTATGTTGATCCATACGCTATTCAATATGTCATAGCATTATAAAGTTAAAAATAAAGTCTAGAATTTTCACACAATAATAGCATTCGGTAGCCATTTTAACCGTGAAGACAAAATAAAGTCCGAAATTTTTTTTACATAATTAAGTACATTACATTAGCTTTAATTTAAGATATATATAAAAGTGAATCCCCCCTGTAGGCAGGTAAAAAGTCAGATTTATAAAAAAAAATATACCAAATGATAGGTAAAGACATCATGCATCTATAAAAAAATGTATATAGATTCGGCCGTTTTTAGAAATTTAATGCAGTTTTAAGTAAAAAAAATTTTTAAATGTCAAAAATTAGCGATTTTTACATTTGTAATTTTTTGTAAGATTTACTCCATTTACAGGGTACGAGTGAAACGTTTTCAATTTTTGAAGGTAATGTCTTACTAGATGCGATTTGTGATCTTTTGATGTTATGTTCATCAAAATCGGTCCAACGAAAGCTGAGATTGAGCGTTCACAGATACAAAAAAATATAGTCATAGAACATTATATATTTTTTAATTAAAAATTACAGAATCTACAAATTAATAAAAATACCCCCTTAATTACCAACTCCTCCCTAACTACTCTTTAGTATACCCCCTTAATTACATATTCCCTTAAATACTCTTTTAGTATTCCCCCTTAATTACCAACTCCCCCTAACTACTCTTTTAGTATACCCCTTAATTACCATTTCCAATATGAAAAATGACATATTTAACCTATTTTGTTAATCCTTTATGGTTGATTTTTGTGAAAGTTTATAATAAAAAAATCAATAGATGATTTTTTCAGACAGTCATTGAGTATGACTGATGGTAATGAACAGATAAATATAAAAAAAAACCCAGCACAGTGAGGTTGTGGCACAGTGGGGACGTGGCATAGTTGGGTCCAGTATAGATTTAATCTGACAGTGATTAAAATCATAAGAAACCCATCGATGCAAATCTGTAGATAGTGTTTAATTCTAAAAAATTGATGGATAATTACAAAAGCAATAACAACTTCTACTTCCTTAATTATATCCAGATTAGTAATTATTTTTTACTTATATATTATATAATTTTTATAATTAATTGTTTTCAAGTTATTATTGATTTTTAATATGTTAAAAGTAATCATTTTTAACCTACTTTTTTTTGTCCTTTAAAGTGAAAGTTTATAATAAAAAAAAAATAAATAAATTTATTACCATAACTTTTAGCTCAATTTGCAAGTCCGTAATTTTTTTTTCATAATAAAGAACATTACATTAGCTTTAATTTAATATATATATAAAAGTGTCAGACTTTCCGGAACATTTTGAAAAGTCAAGTTGAAATTAATTTTTTGTGAAAAAGTTGTCATTTAAAATCCCCCCTGTGGGCAGGTAAAGGGTCAGATATAAAAAAAAAATATACCAAATGAAAGGTAATGATATCATGCATCTATAAAAAAAAATATTAAATAATATAAAATATAAAATCGAGAATTTTTTCACGGAAATCGTACGTTTTTCTTTAACTTTGATGTCCGTTTTCACCACGAAGAACAGTCCAGAGGTCAAATTTTTTTTTTTCAAATTAAAGTATATTACATAAGCTTTAAATTAAGATATATATATAAGTGTCAGTCTTTCCGGAACATTTTCAAAAGTTAAGTTGAAAAAGTTCTACTTTCTATACGCATTTTAAAAGGTTTGCACCCCCCCTGTATAAAGGGAAATGGTCCGATTTTAAAAAAAAGTATGTCGAATGAAAGAAGTATATATAAAGTATTTATCATTAAAGAATAAAGTTGATTCATGCATTTTTTAAAAAGTTATAGCAACATAATGTTAAAAAATGTAAAATATAATATCAAGAATTTTTTCACAAAAATAGCATTCGGTAGCCATTTTCACCGTGAAGATATAATAAAGTCCGAAATTTTTTATTCACATAATAGAGAACATTACATTAGCTTTAATTTAAGATATATATAAAAGTGTTAGACCTTCAGGAACATTTTCAAAAGTTAAGTTGAAATTAATTTTTTGTGAAAAAGTTGTCATTTAAAATCCCCCCTGTGGGCAGGTAAAGGGTCAGATATAAAAAAAAAAAAAAGTATGTCGAATGAAAGAAGTATATATAAAGTATTTATCATTAAAGAATAAAGTTGATTCATGAATTTTTTAAAAAGTTATAGCAACATAATATTAAAAAATGTAAAATATAATATCAAGAATTTTTTCACAAAAATAGCATTCGGTAGCCATTTTCACCGTGAAGATATAATAAAGTCCGAAATTTTTTATTCACATAATAGAGAACATTACATTAGCTTTAATTTAAGATATATATAAAAGTGTTAGACCTTCAGGAACATTTTCAAAAGTTAAGTTGAAATTAATTTTTTGTGAAAAAGTTGTCATTTAAAATCCCCCCTGTGGGCAGGTAAAGGGTCAGATATAAAAAAAAAATATACCAAATGAAAGGTAATGATATCATGCATCTATAAAAAAAAATATTATATTGATTTGTTCATTTTTGAAAAAGTTATGGCAGTTTTCAGTAAAAAAAATTGAAAAAATTTCGAAAATTAGCGATTTTTAAATTTGTAATTTTTTTGGAGGTTTCCCCCATTTACGGGGAACGAGGGAAACGTTTTCAATTTTTGAAGGTAATGTCTTACTAGATGCGATTTGTGATCTTTTGACGTATCATTGAAAGACAACGGTTTGGTGAGAGCTGAGAAAAAGTGGTAACAGACACAAAAAAAAAAATAAATAAATAACAAATCATAGTAAAATTAATACTATCGCATCTAAAATTATTAAAGACACAAAAAAATTGTTTTTAATTTTATTACAGATGTTGATTTTTAATTTTTTAAAAATAATCAGTGCATAATATCATTTTTAACTTAGTTTTTTAGTATTTCAAAGTTGATTTTTTGAAACTTTATAATAAAAAAAGTTAAATTTGTTACCATAACTTTTAGCTGAACTTCAAGTTTGAAATTTACATTATTAAATAGAAAATTAATAATAATAAAATATATATATAATAAAACAGCTTTGCATCGAAGCTAATAAAATAATGATGTGAACATAAGCTGATTTAATTTTTCAACTTTTAAGCTATTAAGAAAAAATAATTTATACCTAAAAACTAATAACAAATAAGTTATAAATAATTTTGAAAATAAATATAAATTATAAACAAAGTAAAATTTATTTTATTTAAAATTAAAAACAATTCCTGCCTTTTTTTAGTCATATTTTCATTACTATTATTTAGAGCACGCAAATAACAAATTAACAAAAACAAATAAATTACCTATTATAACTACTAAATTATAAAGAAAAAAAACAGTTTAAAGATAAGATTTTTCAAAAAATTTTTCATAGAGTATTACTCTATCGAATTTTGTAGTCAACTAGATTCTAATCAATGCATATTTCAATAAGTATCAATGATACTTGGTAGTTTGTTATCACTTGTTGGACCAGAGTTAAAAAAAATTTATCTACAACTACGTTTGGAGTAACTGCTATTCCATTTATTATTACGTCCAGAACGTTATCTTTTTCAAATAACGTTTTCTATGAATATAAAAATGAAAATACAGCCATAATAATTACTGTATTACTCAATAGTAATCACAAATGAATAATAATTTCAATGTATATAAGGCCTAGTATGTTATTGGTAATTCTTAAAAATAATTGAATTTTAAATTTGGGGGGCCGGCCCTGGGCCACATTAAATCTAAGGGGGACCAGCCCACCCAGGCCCATCCATGTCTACGTGTCTGTACATTACGATTGCATTTCTGTAAAATTATAAAATAAAACTATTTTTTTTCGGTTTTCTATAAAGTTAAACATATTCTATTTTATTTGAAATCACTTTTTACAGTAATTAAATAAAAAAAGACTATTCATTAATAAATCGCTATCCTAATGGGAAATTAACTCTCAAACCCCATTACTTACCTATCTAATAAAAACAATATACAAAATAAAAGTAATTGTTTTATTTTGTCAAGTCAAATATATAAAGGAATATTGTATCCGGAATTTTTCAATAACTATAAAAGTTTATTTTTATTTTATTATTTATATTTTTTTATTTCAACACTCATATCCGTTTTATTTCTATTACACCTTGAATTTACTAAATAGTTTGTTACACTCTAGTGAGTTTGATTTTACTCTCAAATTATAGTCCATAACTATATAAGCAAACATCCTGTACATTTACATAGGTACGTATTTTTAATTTCAAACGATTGTTATTTGTATATATTGTACCTGTCAACTAACTATATTACTGATACAGTATTGTGAAATGTATAAAAAACTTATAATTAATTAAAAATTAGTATGAATTGAGCTACTTCACGTAATAGTTAACCACACTAAAACTAGTAAGTTTTTTTATTTTTAGTCTTCAATTATGATAATTATTATAAATATGTGGAACTTTAAGTTTAAGCTTAATAAGTGTAATTTTAAAAATAAAGTATTATTATTTTAAAAATAGATAAGCGTGCAAATTCAATATTCATAATTTATTTTTGATGATTTTGTTTTTGTCATACATTCGAAATACATGATTGAAATTTCATTCCCATTACATAACTTAAGATTCTTTATGGTAAGTAAATTTTAATGAATCATTGAAACTAACATAATGGTATTAAATAAGATTTATTTTTTATACATTAATTATAAGACGTGAAAAAATTAGTTGTGTCTACGTAAACGAACAATATGCATTATTTGCAATTAAAAATGAAAAAATTGATAAAAGTGTAAGTGTATTAGTTGAACTAATGAAAATGTCGACAATTTTAGTGTATAAAGGATAGACTGAAGGAGAGCTGCAACGCTTTATAATTATTAAATCCAATGTTGTTTGCGCGCATTTCTTCTCCGGTTCAGACCTTCAAACACTTATCATTTCTAATAAAATTAGCAAAATCTTAAAAAAAACTAATTGTTAACCCTATTATAACTATTTATTTATAAATAAACATTATATTTTTATGACCAGTTAATATTGGTGTATTTTTTGGTAGTAGGGTCCTGGCCAACCCTTTTCCGAAATCAATAACTAAAGAATAAATTAATCACTATACCAAAAAACCAAAAATATTTTTCTAAAAATTATATTTGCAAATCATTTTGATGACCTTCTATTTAAATATTTTCTTAAATATACAAAAAAATAATTGAATAACCTATAATCATTTCATAGAGAAAATTGTTTACATCCCTCTCCAAACAAAATTTTCAAAACATTTCTCTATTTTTTTTTGAAAATCTACTACTGTATTTATCCATAGTCCTGAACGATAAAATTTTACACATCAAAATTGTTTGTATTTTAGCGATATCGATGATATAATTTATACGACGATATTGTTATTCCAAAATAATAAATATTTAAATAGGAAAAACAATAGATTAAATTCTTTAATCTCTTTTAATTTACTAAGTGTTATATACCGGAGCTTTGGTTTTAAAATCATTTTAAAAACGAAAACTTTAAAATTTTAATCACTTTGTTTAATTGAATATAAAAGTATTACGTACAAACACATCATTTTTAGTGACATAAAATTTGAACATAAACGAAATATTTTCTTTTTAAATTATGTTATTTTATTACTACAATATGGGGTAAAGTGTATGGTATAGTTGAACCACTTATAATTAGAAACGACGAAACTCGTAACATTTTAAAACTGAAGTTTTGAAGGGCAATATATATTTTATGAACAGACTTTTTATTTTTAAAAATTATCAAAAAAATCTTGTACATTTATTAAGAGCTCAATAAGATGAAAGTTTAGAAATATGATAAAAAATTTCTGGTAGAATAGGTGTACATAAGAATAAACATAAATCCAGTGTTTGATGTAGGTTTTAGACAGGTAAAAACTTACTATAGTAGTTTGTACATTTATATATCACAAAAAGTCCTATATTGTATAAATGACGCGAGTCCAGAATTTTCAAACGAGTCTCCTTAAGTTAAAATAGGGTCATTTTTTATATTTTGTATTGGTGTATCTCATCGAATACTTACCTTTAGCCACTTTAATTTCAACGAAACACACCGCTATTGGCTTAAAAATAGTGTTTCACTATTTTCTACTAGTTTAATATTGTAGTGTTTTGGTGTTTATATTTATTACAAAATACTACAATTAAAATTTATAATAATTAATAATTTTTAATAATGAAAAATGATTTTATACAACATAAAAAAAAGAGTACAAATAAAAAGTGTCACTGGATTGACGAACAGCGCGAGACTAAAAAAAATACACGGAGTGTTATCGTACTGCAGTACATCTAAGATAAAACATATAAACATATATAAAAGCATTCATTATGACATGTTATTTAACATCTTTGTTAATCCCTACAATATTTTGGACTTGTATCGTTTTTCAAATTCAGTTATTGGCAAATGTTTAATTAATTCGGTTGGGTATAATTAATTATGCTTTTTTAAATATTTAAATATTTTCCTTTTTAGCTTTGATGTGTAGCTGATAAATTATTGGCTATCAGCGCCATAATTTTGAAACATTTTTCTCAGTCCAGATAATAAAGAAAAATGTTCAAAAAATTCCTGTTATCATAAAATAGTCATGTTGATAGTTTTAGTGTTTTATGGTGGTGATATAAATCAGTCAAATTTCAATCAATACTTATTTAAAAAATGCTCCACTTTACTGGATGCCTAACTGTACTTTACTTTTTAATAATTAGTTTATTTTTGAATTAACAACTCAGCTGGGAAGGGACTTTAGTTAAAACATATTTTTTACATTATTGTACACTTACTATAATGTAAAACAAATTCCAACAAAATGGGAGACAATATAATCTGAATAACATTAGGTCAATAGTATATAACTTTAGCACTAGTAAAAGTAGGTGATAAGTAAAACAAATAAGAGGTCCTTAGCTTCTTCTCCATTGATAAATTTTACGTACACCATTGACACAAGTAATTATGAAAAAATAAAAATGTCAAAGTAAATGATAGCAAACTTTTAGTCATTTATAGAGTATGTCCAAAATTATCCATATGAGAAAAACTCATTCAATTGATAAAATCTATCTCCTTGAAAAATTATGAGTTATTAGGAGAATATTTAAGATATTTAATTGATAATCTATTTATTATATATTTCTTACTAATTTTGGACATTATATTGATTTAAACTGGGCTACATTTGGAAAGTCTTAGGCATTGCTAGAATAAAATTTTCGTAAGTAGGCATAGTGCCTATAGTACTTAATAGTTTATACAGGCCTAGATTTTGAAAAATTGTTACTTAGATAACTTCAGGGTATTTAAACACAAATAGCATATTTCTACCTTAAATAATGCAATTTTTACATAGGTAAATCTACCATTAAAAATCGTTAATTTATTAATATTCAAGTATAGTCGGTACAAAACTAAACATTAAAACTTTAACCCTTGATTTTAGATGGGTATAAATCATGGTTAATTTAAAATTGACGATTCCAAATACAAATAACAACACACATGACAATCAATTTTTTAAGCAAACTTTTAAATTTACAAAAACAATTTACAAGCAGAAGCTAACACCGGATGGATTTTTAATTCGAGACTGTGGTTGTGTAATGCGATTTCTTCCTAGCAAAGCTTATACATTAAGTAACTATAAATCTTATTGTAATGCATAACAAATTAAGAAACACAAATGTAATAATATTATGTAATGTTTGATTAGATATGAAAAAAGAATATCCAACACACGTTGACAAAAAAATGAAAAACGTTCGGTATATCTTATTTATTTATTACCTGTAACTGTGGAGTATATTAAAAATAGTCAGGGATAAGGACTGGGAAATATTCCATATACTATGCTAGAAAAAATTTACCATTTCATGTTATAACACCCTAAAATTTTTTTAGTGCTAAAAAACATTTTAAAATTTATTGGTCTATAAAATTATTAGAAATATATTTATGCAACTTTGTTGTCCAATATGAGTAAAAATTTAAACTTCGTTAAAAGTAAAAAATAAATTTATGTTTAATTTATCCATATTGAAATTGTACTTGAATATCGAGTTGAGGTAAATTTGACACACAGGACTGAAAATTGATGAACCCGCGCAATTAATAATTAATTATTTTTTAAATAGTTCTGTAAATAATAATAAAAAAAGTTAGTTGGTTAAAAAATGTAATTCTTTTGGTAAAATATATAGGAGTGTGATTAGATAATTATGTGACCTATTTTTTTGTTACCTATACACTAATTAATTTAATTCATACAATTTTATAAAATTGTATTATTAATCATATTATAAATATTAATACAATTTATTTCTAATCTCACACGGGTAGGGAAGATCAATTAAATTAATTAAATTAAATTAAATTAAATTAATCAATTAAAGATTGGGCATATCAATTCGAAAGTAACTAGATATTATTTTTAGTATCTAGAAATGGAGCACCTCTAAGTTCAAAACATTATTTGCGACGATTATTTCTAAACTAGCCAGTGAAAATATTTAAAATTTGCTCCACCTATAAACTTGACTTGGAAACATCCCTGTATAAATTCATATAAATTTAATAATTAAATTTCTAAAAAAAAAAAATTCCACTATAAATAATTTTCCCAGAAATCTAGGAATCGCCAAATCATTTATTTAATTATTTGAATTTTTGTTTTAGAATTGCTGAGATAAACAAAAAACAAATAATGATTCAAGATAAAAAAATTAATAAAAAGTCACTTAACTTTCATCAAGCATCATTGTAAGGATTAAGTAAAAGTTTATTGAATGATTAATTTAAAGCCCTTAGCTAGAATTTTTTAACTCAATTGAGATAATACCTCAAATTAATAATGTTCTCAAAAAAGGAAGTTATTGAATTACAAAATTACGTTAAATTCAATATATGAAGTATTTGTATTAGTATATGAAGTATTAGGATTTGACTGGATCCTCAATAATTATGTTTATAAAAAAAAATTTACTTTCAAAATTTATAACTCTTAAAAAAATATTAATAATTACCAAAATTATAACGAATTTAGAAATACTTAAAGAACCCAATTGGGTAGGATACCTTATGACTTTTAATATTTGAAAATCGCTGATTTTAAAATAATATTTTTTTTTTATAGATATCAGTCAACTTTTTGGATGGAACCAAGAGCAATTCCAATTAAATATACATCTACAGTTGATATATGTTTTGATTCTCCATTAAAAATATTTACAGAAAAAATTGATCTACAGGTTGTTTTTATTAAAATAAAGATTTTAAAATTTAAAAAAAAACAATGCAAAATACTCACAGGATCAAACATTATTAAATATATTAAAACCTGGTAGTAGACCTGTATGACTATGTGTCATAATGAAATATTTATTAAATTAATGTCAACTCCCATTAATTATTACTCTACTTCTCTACGAGATTATATAAATCTCTTGTTGATAATCTAAATAATTTTTAAATATATCCTTGTTGTATAATTAAAGTTTATACTCTTATTTTTCATTAACAAAGTTTATCAAAATTCAAGTAACTTACTTATCACTTATTTAAATACAAATTATGAAATTATTTTCATACATTTTACTGTTTGTATTTTAGATGAAATTAGTACCTTGTCAATATATAGAACAGAATGGTTCTATGGCACGTTTTAAGACATCCATTGAAACACAAATATATGGTGAAAATATATTTTCATTAGATTCTAAGTAAATTTTTATTCATAAATTATAAAACAACTTTTATATTAATAAATAATATTATTTGAAGAATTAGAAAAAAATAAACATAAACTATTAGATTTTAATGCACATAAATATGTAATTAGTGTTTCTTGTTATAATAATTAAAATTACCTATATAAATAATGTATTTTTCAAATACATACTAAATTTATCTACTTAGTAAAATTTTTATTACCCTTGAAAATATAATTCAACAAACCTTAATTTATGAAAATTGTATTATAAAATGTTCTATTGTAGTATGACAATAAAAAAATTGAAATCTAAATTTATGTTATATAACAAATTCTATAATACACCCATAAAAAATGTATTTGTGATTATTGAAAATAAATACGTATATTTTTATAATAGCAGATTTTACATGAAAAAATTAAGGGAATAGATAAACAATTAGATAACACATTCATTACAAATATTATTATGTAAATAGTACTAAGTATAAATAATAACATTTAAAAATAATTAACACTTTATATTTTATTGACAAGTAAACTTATGCTTGAATACTAAAATATTAAAATATTTACTGGTTAGGAAAAGTAACATATAGGAAAATCTTTTAAATAGCTTAAAGAAAATATACATAATAATACAAAATACATGCATTTTTCTAAATCAATTAGAAGAATATAGTTCATTTGTTACTTTTTTTATGTTCCACTGATTTACCTCCAGTTTCACATGGTATGCTAGGTATTTGCCAACCTTGTATGGATATTTCCTTTATAAAAACAATTATATTATACATATGTAAGAAACCATTTTTCATCTTATTCTTCATAATTTAAATAGTTTTATCAAATAAAAAGAACATTAAATTAAACAAAATTTTTAGTCATCAACACATTTAATTAAAATTTTCCTATACATCCTTCAAATAACAATTTATTATTATAATAGTAGTTATTAACATTTATGGTGTGTTTTTAAAATATTGTTACTGATTTTAAACGTTATAATAATAATTTAAGAATAATTCTATTATTTAATAAATATTTTTTCACATTATAGTAATTAGACAAAATAATTATAAACATACAGGTAATTTTTCTTATCACAAACCACTTAATTAATCGAAAAATAAAAATTATAATTATAATTAATAATAATAATTTTTTAATTTGTTTCTTTTAGTTCAATGTTTCTCATAATTTTTCAATCAATCAATCAATAATTTTCAATAANCTTATCACAAACCACTTAATTAATCGAAAAATAAAAATTATAATTATAATTAATAATAATAATTTTTTAATTTGTTTCTTTTAGTTCAATGTTTCTCATAATTTTTCAATCAATCAATCAATAATTTTCAATAAAGTTTTTTGTACATTCATCTTTTATACCTTATAAGGGTGTCAACTTTAATTTCTCAAATGGTAACACCTTTAATTAATTAGTTTATTTAATAAATAATGTTCTAATTAAGAAAATGACTGGTCAATAACAACTTTTGGACCAGTATTTCAGAAGCTATTGACATATTTACATCTAGGCGAGAATAAGAGTACAGAAGAGTGCAAGAAATATTTAGTTATAAAAATAGTAGCAACCACTCTTTACCTCGAGTCATTAATTTAAATTGTTTAGACTAAGTGAGATAAGATGTATAATCATCTCATATTACCCTTTTACAGTATGGTGTTAGTATCAAATTGGTAAAATTAATATTTCTCAGATTTATATTAAAGCTAAAAGTTATTTATTAAAAATTAAATTATTAATTAATCATTTATAATCAATAAACCTAAATTTATTTCATGAAATTTATAAAATAAAACTATACCTAAATATAACCAAATTAATTTGAGCTGTCATGAAAGAATAATGTTTTATATATTTTAAATTTTGTAAATTTACATAACCACAAATCTTTTTTTTTTTTTAATTATAAAAAAAATCACTTGATTATTTTTGGCATGAGGGTAACAATAAATAAATATTCATAGATATGTTCTATATTAGTTTCTAATATTACCTGCATTTCATTTAAATCATTTCTATCACATTCACGAGGTTCTAGCGACAGTTTTTCAACATAATTTTCAGGAGGAATCATACTTTCCATTGATAGAGTTGAACATGCCTCTAATGACTGTAATGATACAGTTTCAGCAGAGTGAATATCCCAAGAATCAGCATCAGTACAAGAAGAACTTGTACGAGTTCGCTCTACTGATGATAATACCTAAAAATAAGTAATTTGATAATAATTGAATACAAGAACATAATCAGGAATTACGTCTTTATTTTTGAAAAGGAGGCCAAAATTTTAATATGTTCACATGTTATTTCTTTTAAACTAATAGTTATAAATATAATGATTAAGTACCATATGGATGTTTTAACAGTTAAAAGTAAAATGAAATATTATTAAAAAGTCCAACTTAGGGTAATTAAATATTTTACAGATTTAATAATTTATTTTTTGTAAACAAATATTTTGTGTATTTTAACAATACTTTACATTATATTATTAAACATTATATTAGTGCTGTAGATTGATATGACTAAAGTGATAATATATATTTAACTGCTCAAGTTAGCCTATTTGACTGTAGTCATAATTAAAAAAGTTAAGAAATTAATATGCTGCCATAACTGACGACAGTATTAATCTTATAGTATTTGGTTATCTCTGAACAACCAAAAAATTAAATCAGTATTTTTAATCAGTAGATCTTTCTTTTAATGAGTATATATCATTTATTTATAATACAACCATACAATTGCTATATTTTATAAAGTGACAATGATGGCAATTCAATAGTTAAAGTAATTTAAAAATTGTAAGCTACTCATTTATACGTTCAAGTCTTTAGTATAGTTCTAATATATGGCACCTTCTCAAATCAGTCATATTAATTGATTATATTTCAATAAAAAAATATGTAACTTGATTTTTATCTTTAAAGTAGTTATTTTAATAATTTAAGAAGTTAGAATAATTTTTAAAATAAATATTCAACCTTAATAAGAGACAAAAAAAAATTATCATTATTTTATTATTACTTAAATCTAATCTATAAAAATTAAATAGATTTTCTTTTTTGCAGCAGTTGGCATAGAAAATATTGTTACTTATTTAGTTTTCATGTTATTTTAATTAAAACTCTAGAAACCCTCTTGAAATTTTTTAGTAATAAATATTTTCTCTTTAAGGTAATATTTATATAGTTATTATAACAATAATTATCCTCACTTGTGGTTTAAGAGGCCAATCTGTTAAGTTAGAGACAGATGGATCGAAATCGTCTAAACTCATTGTTTGTTTTTGGTCACCTTGATAAGAAATATCATTAATAGTGTACACTTCTCTTAGAGCAGCAAACTGAGTGGTAAAATTATCCTTAAAAAAATAGAGAATTATTCATTACAAAAAAAAAAAATGTATACTTTACTAACTAAGATATTGTTGGTTAGTAGTGCCTGATGTGTACTGTTGTGGAAAAAAAGATCTTCAATTTATAAAATTCACATGTTTTAATAATAATAATAAATTATAAGTATTTAAAACGCTATTTTATTGTGATATACATATAATCACAGCCAATGGCCTTTGTTGCTGCGTCCTTTATTTTAATATATAAACATAATAATAATAATAAATTAAAAATGTTCTCTAGTGCCACCCTCAAACTTGCTGCCTGGAGCATGTGCAACCAATGTTTCTCTTGATTATAATAAGTAATGAAATAGAAAAATAAAAATAAAATAATCATCAGGGCTGTGAATTATATGCTTTCATACATATTGTTTGAGCCACTTTTAAGGTTCCTATGTTAATAAAACTTTGTCACTGGGTTGTATAGTAATACAAAAATATTTTTGGTTGTGTAAACTTCCCTAATCCTCCTTACCAAATTATAATCTTGATAACAATTCATTAATAAGTTTTCATATCAATAAATACAAATTTGTACTAGTTGATGGTGTGTTAAGATTAATTTAACAAAATTTATAAATGCATATATCTATATCATCATATAGCCCATATTATTGTTCATATTTAGTTACATATTAATTAATGTTAACTATTACATTTTAGTTTAATAAGTACTAGGAATAGTTACAGAAGATGAAATTGATTAAGTACATTATTTTGAGCCTAAAAATATTCCTTTTACTAATCAATAATGATAATAATTAGTGTGAATTACCTTGAAATCTATCATTTCTTTTTTAAATTTTAATGCATCTTCAACAATTCTAATATTTCTTCTTTTGAGGTCTTCTAATAAAGCTAACTGTTCACACATTTGATGCATTCCCTAAATTAATAATGCAATATATTGTTACTTATGAATATAAACTAATTTTTTGGGATATTTTTATTTTTAATTTATAACTTTTATCGTAAAATTCATCTTGAGGTAGAGTGGATAAAAAAATACTGTCATTTTATTGCAAAAGAACATATTTTAAGGGCTTAGGCTTTTTTAATTTTTTTTGATAACAGAGTTATTATAACAGAATACATTAATGTCATAATTACAATGCGAGTTTCACTTAGATATATAATCTGCTTTAAAGAGATATCATTTTATTATTTTTATTTTGTTATACATAATTATAGCAAAAACTACAATATATTTATAAAGAGTGAGTGGGGTGATGGTAGTAGCGGTAAAGTGGAAGACCTAAGGCTTTAGGCAACCAAACTGATAAAACACAATTTTAAATATAAAATATACCCTGTATACTGAAATAACACACCCAAGGAAGAATATACAAATTTAATGTTGATGTTATAATTTTTACCTTTAGAATCTAATAAAATATAGGACTATGTAAATTAAACAGCAATAGTAAAAATTTCACATAGACAAATAATAACAAATTAATCCTACATAATGTAGTGGTTGGGTTTTAATGTGTATGTCACAATGATTTAACATTTTTAAATATTAAAAAAAAATAGTGTCAAATCATTATCATATTTTTAAGTATTACTAAATATTAAGGTGACATATAAAAAATTAATCATTTAAATTTTAAAAAACTACTCACAAATGGAAAACAATGAGCTCTAAGAGATAATGTAGGATGGTTAAATTTTTTTTAGAGGGGCTAAGTGTAATTTTATTGTTCTTTAAAAATGATTTTTATACGTCAATACCTATAATTTTTCAAAACTTTGGAGGTTAAGCTTCTACTCTACATTTATGGGACTAAAACTTCAAAAAATATATTAAATTAAATGTTAATTTATATGACAATACTATTGAGCGGAGAAATTAAAGTTTGTTTAAACTATGTGCATAAGGTAACTCTTTTGACACTACACATAAAAAATATATTGGAAAAATTTGTATCAAAGCAAATTATGAATCAGTTTGGTTATTTGCTTACTTCACAAATTATAAGTGCAGAATCCCAAGTATCAGATACCAGTATTCCTTTCATATACTGTTCAAATTCCTCAGTATTCATACTTAAAAGTTCTGCGTTTATATTTTCAATAAAAGATACTGCACAACACTAAAATAAAATTTAAAATAGATATTAAAAATATCTAAATATATAATTAAATCTATTTAAGAAACCTAAAATACTTAGAAAATACAATCTTAAAACTTACTTTGTTTTAATAAAAATAACAAAAACAACCATTGATAAAATGCACTATCAAATTAAAATCTTTATTTCACAAGAAAATTTTTATGCTCAAGCATATTATATTTAAGTTTTTATTTAATTACCAAATTAGTAAAATAGTAACCAGCTTCACCGGACATAAGTCTTGAAGCATTACAAAATCTAGTCACATAATGCAAATTTGATTTTAACCTCACTGGATTAGCTTTAAGAACAACAAATATGAGTACGGGTAGAAAATCATCAGCAGATGCAGGTCCCTTGACTCCATTATTACCACCTTGTAATACACCAAATATATGTCGACAACATCGAACAACACAAGCCAGTTTATCTTGTGGAGCTGTAGCTGAATCCATATTTAATAACTCTAAAATTGCTTTGTACACCAACTCAATTATTTGTGCATTAGTTTTATCAATATCACAATCTAGATGTTTTGCATTGACCCAATTAAGTTGCCGAATACTATAATAAAAAGTTAGTGACTAAAGTTTTGAAGTGAAACTTAACATTTTAAGTCAAAAAATATTAATTTTATTAAACATAGTGAACATAAATAATAACTTTGAAAATTACTATGATTTTACATGTAGAGTAAAATAACTCGTTAATAGTTAAAATTTGATTTTTAATGTTTATATTATCTAGAACTAGTAAACATATGAAATATGGTATGTCAAATTTTTTGACATAAAAGGATTCAAAGAAACTAAAACTATGATTTTTATTATTTATTTTTAGTTATAAAAAACAAAAATTTTTTTTAATTTAAAATTTGTTCAATATTTTGAAGTAGCTAGTTATTAGTACTTTTCTAACAAAAATAATTAAGAGATAGATAACAATTTTAGGAAGAGTAATTATTGAATTACAAACAATTAAATACACAGAGTGAGTTTATAAGGTGGGTGGGCACATCTCGCATGAATGTATATTTAATACATACCAGTACATCATATAGAAGTCATGTGTAGTATACCTCTATTTCAAAGTTTTTATTGTAAGCATTTCATTTAAAATATTCATACTTTTCCCAAATATTTGCTAAAAAGTAATTTTAGTACTAATACTTAGCTATTTATTTCATAATAACAATACATTAAATCCAAAAACTATAAATTATAAAAATATACCGTTTTTGAATTGCTAAATCTTCTTCTTCATCGCTTAAGGTCATACAAAATAAAAATTTGTACAACTTTATCATAGAGTATTTTTCTACATAATCTAATATTAGTTCCTTTTTCTCATGAGTCAAATCTGTAGAAATATAGATATAAAAAAAAAAATATAAGAAATCTTATTTTGTTAGTCCTTGGTTATTATTGAAAATATTGTAATAAAACCTTTTATAAAAAAAACAGAGAATTTAACATCCTATTAGTTTTAACTAAACCGAATTTTGAATAATTGACTACTACATTTTATTACTTATTTAATTTTTATCATTTTACTCTAAAAATTTAAATCGAAAGGTGCACTTAAACTGTTAACTGTTAAGTTAATATGTCACAAAAAATTAGAAAATGTTTATTATTTATATAGAGAAGAATGTTATCTGTCAAGTGTCAAATTACTACAAATCAATTTTACTGGGGAAGTTTGTTGATTTCATTTAAAAAATATATAAATTTCTATAAGACACCATTGAAATATTTAATTTGTTTTTACTCTTTTGAAAAGTCGCTAAAGGTAACATATCAACTTTTGGAAAATAGTCATAGAATTTAACTATTTATGAAATATTATTAGCTACCATTATATGAATGGTTATTATTAAGCATATCCAATACATTTTGGTAGAAATGTTGAGTAACTTCAGATTGTAAATCTACTGCACTTTGTAAATGATTCATTGCCATCATATTACAAAAATTACGAATTAATTTCTTGATATCAGTACGCAAACCCCTCAGTTCTGATAAAATTTCCAAATATTCTGTGTCTAATTGTTCTAGTTTTTTTGTAATAACTGGATCATAATCCTTTTTAAGCTTCTCAGATAAATCATCTGTAAATATTAAAAAAATGATAAAAACTAATTTTTTTTTTAATCTTTAGTAATAAATACTCGTAAAATTATTATTGATCGATTAAAACTTTTTGTAAGTAAACCTCTAAAAATAGCTATTTTTAAATTTGTAAAAAATTAAAAATGAAATATTTTCATTATTAAAAACAAATAATAAAAAATATGATTTTAACATAGTCTAAGAATGCATAAATTATTATTTAAAAAAGTAACATTAAAAATTTAGTAAATTAAAAATTATTAGTTTTGTCAAAACATTGTAGATAACTCTGTAAAAAAATGTATATAAACACTTGTTTATTTTAACACAAAAGCTTCTTGAAGGTGTGGGGGTATTACCCATTCCTTTTAATAATATATGTATATTTTAGTCAGTAATTTTCAATGTAAGAGGTTGCTAAAAAAAAAGCTTTCAAAGCTACACAATTTAAAAAAATTTTATATGATAAAAAATAATTTTTTCATCATATTTTTAGCTTTATGAAAACCATACTTAAATATTAAACATCTTAATTTGAATTATAATTTATTGATGATAAAAAAAAAACTACTATTTTCAATAATTACATTATAATTATTGAAAATAGTAGTTTTTAAAAGTGTAATTATATTCACAAGTTTTCTTTAAATTTAAGTTACCTTTTGATTTGATAGTATTGAACATTTTCAAGTAAGATAACTTAGACCTTTTGTCATTAATGGAATTTTTTTTAACATCTTGCTTGATATATGAGTTAGTTGATTTATTAGTTATTACTCTCCTAAAAAAGAATCAAGAAATGATCAAATATTGTTAAATTTTAAAAAGTACTTACTTTGGAGAAGCATCTAGACGTTTTCGTTTTTGTATATCTTTAAAACATTTTGAACAAAATCCATCCCACTGAGGATTTCCATAATAATCGCAGTTCACTTTTTTACATTTTAATTCTGCTTCTCCGATTCGGAAATTACCTTTCTTGAACGGTATCATTTTAAAGTTTGTAATTTTACTAGTATTATATCAGATATGTCGTTTAAAAATATTTTTGAAATTAAGTTGAAAAAAAAATAAGTACAAATAATAGATAAAATATATAATTTTTTTTTATAAAAAATGTACAGTTAATAATTAATTGTGTATACTGGTTTGATGAACATGCATTAAATATTTTTAGAAATTAAGTGTTTTCAATTGATTTATAAAATTTAACGAAGCACTGTTAGTTCTGAATCGTTTCAATTAGATTTAAAACTCAAGTAATTATTAGTAAAATTCAAGAATTTTTTTGTAATAACAAAAACTTAAGACTAATAGACTTATACATCTAGATGGAACATTCGGTCAGATAACGTGTAAAAAGTAGACGGAGTACATTTCTAGCACAGTTATGATACCAGAATGGGTTTACTTCAATTGGTTACCGAGGACCATATTCTTTTCCCTTGCTCTATGAAAAAAATATGCTATCTATCTTATCCAATTTCCACACCTATCAGTCCTCAGGAAAAATTTTCCGTCTAGATGTACAAGTCTTAGATTATACACGATGTAGAGAAAATCTTTATATTGTGATCTTATAAAACCATTGACCTATTAACGATAAACATTGTTAGTAGATCTATTTATAAAACCCCTTTGACTGATAAAATAAGAATATACGACTATCTGATATTATCGATGTTCTCTTTGATATTCACACATATTAATATTTGTGTAACATGTACTATCATAACTTTTATGTATAAACTTCTAACTTAGTTCTTTAATTTATTGCAAATTTTCAAATTTAAAATTGTGTTTTACGAGTTAAATCCATGTTTGCCATAAATAAAGACAATTTATTTGTATTTATATTTATGTTATTTTTTTAGATGTGATAACCAATGAGTAATTTGATAACTATTATATACTACGTTGTGTATTATTGTTTCTAGTTGTAGTATTATACTATTTTCATTAGTTTATAAGATAACACTTCATTTTATTGTAATATAAAGTACATTAAAAAGTTATATATTTATTTAGTTATTTATAAATTATTTTTAGGTAAGTGAAATTTAGTCAGTTTTTTATTTTCTTTATAGATAATCTTGTCAAAAGGCTAACAAAGCATTCCATTCTATAAAATAATAGTTTGATAATAATTTATTGTTAATAAATTTAATGAAAACCAAACGTATAATACTTAATATTCAATTTAATAATCTAAACGACTTTCATAGATTATATGTGCACAATCCATCATGTTTATTGTAAAATCTTGAATTTTGTTAATATATTAATATTGAAAGAGTATTTTTTTGTAAATACCTAGGACTATTTGTTTATTTTCAATTAAAATAGAAAAAACATTGATAATTCTGTAAATTTAATTCGAAAATTGTTTTAAATATTTAGATAACTGGGATGGTGTGGCCGAGTCGGTAATGCGGCACTGTTTGACGTGCATTGCCTCGGGTTCGAAACTCGGTCATGGGCAGCTTCATTTGCCGAATGAGAGATCAATTCGGTAATTGAAGTCACCATCCCACTCTCCGGCGATGGACTAACCACCCATCACGGTGTATAAGAGTTCAAGAAAACCTCCTACTGGGGGGAGATCGCTATGGCCCTTAATGGACTAATAAAAGCAATAAAAAAAAAAAAATGTAGAGAATTAGAATATGTTATGCATATTTAACAATTAAAAGTAGTTTATATTTCTTTTGTGTAATTAGTGATAACATATGGTATAGAAATATAGGGTGGTACTTATGGGCCATTTAAATAAAATAAAAATAACTGTTAATAGGATCATCAAATTTATTGCGAGAGTGTCTTCAACTACAAGTACTGAATTTATATACAGGTTGATTACTTTAATATTAGTGACTCAATTTCTCTTGAAATAACAATGTTTTTTTAGCTTTTGTTAGTTTCATATGTTTTTTACATTCATATTTATGTCTTATAGAAGTGTCAACTTAATTTTTAAAAATAGCAACTTATATAATAACTAGCTTATTAATTAAATAGTGATGTAATTAAGAAAATTACTAGTTGGTAACAACCTTTGAACCAGTATTTAAAAATTTATTAAAATTCTTATACCTAGGCAAAAACAAAAGTAAGGCCAAAAACTATCTTATCAAAAAAATACCAATTATTACAACTTATCTCCAGTAAATACTTTAAATATTTAATAACTTCTGAAATACTAATCTAAAAGTTGTTATCAGCCAGTCATTTCCTTAATTACATCAGTTTTTATTTGATATGCTAGTTAAATATTTACGTAGCCATTTAAAAAAATGGCTAAATAAATATTTAATAATGTTCACACTGCTATAATACATAAGGGATGAACATATAAAATAAGTATCATATAAGATAATTGGAACCACATATGTAACTAACAAAGCCAAAAAAAAAACATTTACAAAAAAAAATATTATTTTAAGAGAAGTTGAATGGCTAACATTAAAACAATCATCTGTATAAATAATTACAAGTTATGGGTTTTGTTAAATTAATATCCAAATGCACTTAAATGTTAACCTTTAAACATAAAAAAAAATTTGTTCATGTGCTGACATAATAATTATGACAGCACATAAACAAATGTTCTATTTTTTTTAAATCCTATATTATAATTATTTTGATTATCATGATTAAAAAAAATATTAATATAGTAACAGCCTCCTGTAAAAAAAAATTTAGTAAAGAAAAATTGTGCCTTGATATATATTATGTAGAAATCATAAAATTAACATTAATCTTTACACCAATTACAGTTTAAAAGATTCTTACTACATTCAATTGTTTGATTATTAGAAGTAATTTTTTATATTGTTTGTATATATATATATTCAGAAAGTAAGAAAACAGGCCAATTGTTATAAACAATGAGAACTACAGGAACCCGTTTTCCTCATTTACTGTACACTTTATATATCACTCTATTTATTTTAGCATATAAGATATATTTATTATTTCATATTTTTTAAACATTAAATATGATAAAATGCTAGGTTTAATCTTAAAAGTGTTTTCTTTTCATACTGTTATTTTTATTAATACTTAATACATTTTTATAAGTTAAATGTCATTAAAGTATTGTATTGTTATAATTCTTGTTAAAAATTAGGGGAAAATGATCAAAACCAATTAAGTCTATTATAGGGTTTTTGGGCTTCACTGATTTTGGCTACCTTCCAAAGAATTATTATTAGAAACTCATTACCTTGAATACAAGCTTTGTATATAGGTATGTAGAATATTGTAAAAACTGCTTCTTTAGTATTTTAAACTTTTGTATGCTATTTTGTTTACAAATATTTTAATTAATTAATTAATTAAACTATTGTCAAGGAGAAAGTTCTAACCTTAAGAATAAGGGTGGCCGACCCTAATTAGTTGAGATTAAGGCAAGGAAAAAAAAGAAGAAGAGGAAAAAATTAAACTATATATATAATTAATATTTATCTATTATAGTTTTGGGAAGTTTATAGTTTAAAATAATTTTAAATTGTTTAGATATATTTATATCTCTTAACAAAATAACTATTTCAATAATTTACAAACATAAACATATGAATAACATGTTAACGTTTAAATAATAATATTATACAAGAGTTACATATAGACTTGAAATTACAATATGTTTTAAATCACAAATATATTAACAAGTTAAAGTCAAAATTCTAACTTTTGATTCTCTACTATTATAAAATAATAAAAATTATTAATATAAAATTTTTATAAATAAGTATTTTTACTTAGTAAAACGTAAGTAATTCATATAAGATTGAAAAATTGATTACTATCTATATTAAGTTCATGTATATAATAACAATATTTATGAAAAATTATTTTTATTTTTAGCTTTACCTGTATTTTGATGATAAATTAAGAATGGATCCTTCTGTATTAACAACATTGAAAATTTTATTAATTGGTCAAAGTGGAGTTGGTAAATCATGGTAAGACTGTAATATAAAAATTCAACAAATTGTTAGCTTTTAATTTGGCTATAAGAAAATTATTAAATCTAGTAATCTTAAAATACAATTGCAAGAAAGTAGAAAAAATAATTCTAAATAATTACTTTGTTTTACAATTTTTTTTTTTTTGTAAAATCATTTATTAAAATAAATAATCTTATTTAAAAATATGTAAATAATTATTTGTACATAGTATTTATTTATTGTTTATACTCTAGAAACAAATATTTTCAAATATATAATTAAGAAAAACATTTAAATTCTTAGTTTAATAACTGAATTTTACAAGTTTGTTTTATAGGCCTAAGAGATTTAATAAATAATAGTAACTTATTTCATTTTATAGTTTATTATGCAGATTTACAGATGACACATTTAATGAAGAAAATTCTGTCACAATTGGTGTTGATTTTAAAATGAAAAAAATTACAGTTGACAATAACAATATCAAGTTGGCTTTATGGGTAAGTTGCAAATAGCTCCATAGATTTTTTACCATAAGATAATTTTATTTTTTAATTGTGTTAAATTAATTTTTTTATTAATTTTAGGATACAGCTGGCCAAGAAAGGTTTCGAACACTTACACCCAATTACTATCGTGATGGTCAAGGAGCTATACTAGTATATGACGTATCAAATAGAGATTCTTTTACTTGTTTAGAAACTTGGATTAATGAATTAAATAAATATTCAACTAAATCTAATGTAATTAAAATGATTGTTGGAAATAAAATTGACCAGGTAATCTTTATCTAAAATTTAAAAATATATAAAGAAAAATGGATATATTTGTTACTGGCTATATTAGTATAATAATTTCATATTGTTATTTGATATTTTATTGGCCATAGGAAAGAAAAGTATCTCGAGAAGAAGGAATTGCTTTTGCTAAACGTCATCAAACATTATTTATTGAAACCAGTGCAAAAACTAAAGAAGGTGTCCATATGGCATTTGAGGAATTGGTGAGAAAAGTAAGTAAAAGTCATTAATAATTCAAAATATGTTAGGCTATATTTAAAAAAAAAAATTTATTGGAGTACTTAAATATTTTTTTTGTTTGTGCTAATGTTTCAATTAAAATTGTGATCAATATCAATATTTTAACTACTTAGACAAACTAAATACTTCCACCTCTTCCTTACCTTAATTTCAAAAAATACTACCAATGTATGTAGCCAGGGGCCTTGTACACCTAATTTTTGGAGCACTGGTTATTAGCCAAATTATTTTGAAAATAAATGTATGTTGACAATTATTTTTATCTTCGATGCGAAGCTGAGAAGGTATTAATTTTACTATGATGTTTTTTTTTGTCTGATACAATTTTTTCTCAGCTCTTACTGAACCGATTTCTGTCAGTTATACGTCAAAAGATCACAAATCGTATCTAGTCGAAAACATTACCTTCAAAAAACAAACAAATTTCCCTCTTTCCCTATAAATGGGAATAAATGGTGAAAACTAACATCAAATTTAATAGAAAAATAAAATTTTTGTAAAAAAATTTTTTTTTTTAATGCTATGACTTTTTAAAAAATATATGGATCAATACAATTTTTTTTAATTAAATACTAATATATACCTCTTTCATTCGTCATACTTTTTTTTTAAATAAACCATTTCCCATTATATATTTATATATTATAAATATATATATTACACTTATAAATCATAAAATTTGTAATCAGGATTTAAATATGGAAATAGGAGATCATGTAGCTTTTGGACTAATCCACCAAATTTTGAAAATTAAACACTATCTACAGATTTGCAACAGCGTTTTTTATGATAGTGATTTTAATCACCTTTAGATTTCATTATATTTGACCCAACTATGCCACTTCCCACTGAGCCATGAACCCACTGGTTGTTTTTCTTTTACTGTTTGACCATATTAACATGATTTCTTAGAAATTTTCTGACATTTGAATATTATGACATCTGATATTATGAATATAAGATACTGATTTTTTTGGAAACTATTGAAAATTTAAAATTTACGTTACACAAAAAATTGTTTGATTCAAAAAAACTACTGTAGTATATAATTTTATTTTATTTTTTTCATCACTTCAGAGTTAATAAATCAAAGTTTTAATTTTCTTCATTAGGAATCTCTATTTTTAGTATAACAGTATAATAGAAAAAAAATGTTATTCTTATATTTTTTATTTGATGAACTATTTTTCTGTTATTCTTAAAATGTAGTTAATTTTGATGAATTTTTATGGATAATTTACTATTTAGCATACAGTAGTGGTCTTATCTCTATGTCACATAAAAGAGTTTTTATAAACAATTCTTATTATTTTATTTGTCATTGACTTACTATCTTTCATTTGAAATAAATTATTTTTGATTGCCGTATTATAAAAACCAAATTTATAATACATTCTTATTTTTAATCCAAATTTTTAAACAATTTTAAAACTCAAAAAGTTTTGTGGATAAAAAAGATTTTAAATACAATTTTGTTTATTCCTTTTTGTATACCATCAATCCAAAAACTGGTGTTCATAAAAGAAAATTGAAATTTAGATTTTTTATCTCTGAAGAATTAAAAAAAAAAAAAAAAACCCAGCACAGGGGGGTCGCGCCACAGTTGTGATGTGGTATAGTTGGATCAAGTATAATGATATCTGACAGTGATTAAAATCACTATCAAAAATAAACGCTTCGATGCAAATCTTTAGATAGTGTTTAATTTTAAAAAAATTGGTGTTTTATTCCAAAAGCTACTTGATCTGCTGGTTCCTTATTAATATCTCGATAAAGATAAAGTATG